GCTCAGTTGAAAGCCCATGACATGCAGGATCTTAAAGATGAAGCAAAAGAGCATGCAGACAATGAGAACACACTGGAGCTTTCAGACCATAGCATGAGAGTGATCTGGACAAGGACTTCTCAAATTGCAAGGCACATAGGAATCAACTGGGGATTCTGTGAAAATGCAGATTTAAGCTCAGTATGTCTGAGGTGGGTCCTGAGGGTCAGTATTGCTAACGAGTTCCTAGGTGGTGCTGATTCCAAAACCACACTTTTAGTCACAATCATCTACAATACATAAATGGAAGTACACAAAAATAATGGAATTGGGTAGGAGAAACATTTTGGAATGTTAACTTAATTTTCATAGTATGTCTATTATTCTTGACTAAAGGTTCAGAAATCCCTGATTGCCAGGGTTTTTATTTTTTAATTACAAGTAGCAATATATTTCATTACAATTATTGTACAGCCTGCTGTATAACAGAATTAGACTGTGACAAGATAAAGTGTGACTTGCTTTACCCATTCGTGACACCTACCATTTGCTACAGGAATTTGACTTTTTGGTTAATTCTAGGAAAAGACTGAATAAAGTCAAATGAACAGCAATGGGCAGTACATGATCTGGAGAGGAAAAGAGGAAAGTCTCCAAACCTGTCCAGTGAATCTCTGACCCTCCTTCCTGCAAACAATAGATAATTGACAAAGAAACCAGACATGGGTGCAAAGGTCATTTAACCAATTCAAACTGTGGTGATCACTGTGTTGGGGGATGAACAATCACAAAAAGCAGCAAAAGCAGGGCTATGAGAAGACAATGAGGCTGGGTGGGAGGTCTTGTGACCCTCCTGTTACCCTAGTAAGTGATTACGTTTAGATGGGTCATTTCATCTCTGGGTTTCTTCATCCATAAAATGAAGCCAATAGTTCTTGCTCGCCTTCTCCCATGGGTCTGTTTGATCAGATGTGAGTGCAGGTGTAAAAGCAATCACATGCAGTGCTGTTTCGGGGATCAGTGTACTCCAAAGAGGCACCCCGTACCTGGAAAATAGTTCCCAGTCACCTGTTCCTCGATGCCCCTTTGTCACCCAGAATGCCTTTCCTTTTATTTAAATATCTAAGATGGAACATTCTTCTGGGGAATCTTTCTAAATTAGGAAGAGATTCTCTGCATACTGCCAAATACCCGACCAAGACCAAGAAACAGAATTCTCAGTTTATGCAACATGTTTCTGTCAAAGGAACCACACACTACAATTTAATAAGAGGCATAAGTGGAATCTTAGCAAAATAGCTAGAGGATTATTTTAGCAAAAGTCAGGCCAGCATAATACATCAGAGCCCTACCTCTGCTACTTCAGAGCTGGTTATTCTTCTGAGCCTCAGTTTCCTCACAGGTAAATAATAGGTAACATTTCCTACCTCAGATGATCACTATGAAGATTGACTTAGAGGAAGAAGATCACTTTTTAAACTGTAAAGTCCTATAAAAATATTATTATTTTATCAAAAATAAATGGGGAATGCCTTATGTATTTTATCTCTCATTCTAATAGTGCAGTTTTACTCTGCCCCACTTGTAAATATTCCTTACTTTGTGCTTCAATTTTAAAAGAATAATATAAACCCTTAAATGTGTGTAGCCATTGACAACTGGGGAAGTAATTGTCCAATAATAGGTGAATGAGTGTGTCACTTCACAAACACTACATGATAACCAGGAACAATACAAGGAAAACCTGACAGAAGTGCCATTTAGAGATTAACACATTTATATGTATTATACTGACATAATGGCAAATGCATGGAAAGCACTTACCACAATACTGTACTTGGTACAATTGAAGTGCTCAATAAATGTTATCTATGATAACAATATTTGGCAAAAATGCATGGAGAAAATCTGCAATAATATATACCAAAAAATAACAGTGGCAGTGCTTTTTTCCAGAACAGTGAATTTCTAGTGAACTGAAGAACACATTTAAACAAATTCACCAATTAAAGAGGAAATGACAAAACCTACTCAAGTTCACCCAGCTGCACTAATAGTAAGTAGTAGAGCAAGGATTCAAAACCAAGTCTTCTCATTTCAAATTCAGGATTCTTTCTATGACTCCAGGCTGCCTCACTGACTTCACTTTTATTCTACTGTCTATATGTTTGATGTAGATAATTAATTCAATTTCATGTATTTAGTATACCAAAGTCCTCAGGTAGAAAATTCTGGGTGGGTTTAGGAGAATATAGACAATGAAACATGTTGTATTTTCTACAATGAAGAACTAGAGTTACTTGTTACTTGATTCCAGGCACTAGAGGCAAATATTCTTGTTTATGAATAAGAGGAATAAGCACAACAACCCCCATCACCACTTCACACTATCGCGCATGGAGGGAAGATCCCATCTCCTCCTGCCTCCTTAACCACTGCAGACAAAGACATCTTGAGTACATCCCACTGAGGAGCCACTTCATTGCCATCATATCACACTTTTTGAGACTCCATAGAGTGTCAAGATGTTCTCCTTGATTCTGATTTAATGGATCACTTCTAAAAGGGTACACACAATTTCTTTAAAAAGTCCTTTCCCAGAAGGGTCAGGAGAGACAGTGAGAAGAGGAGAAAAAATTGAGATAAACACAATCCTGTCTGTATAGCTGTTGAGACAAGTAAAGTTCTTGGATGAGCTGGAATGGGGGCCTGGGTCCTAACTGGAATCTCTTTAAAGTATTCTTACTGGTTTCAGCTAACTGGGACCTTGCTGGAGTTAACGGTTGCATTTCTGTTTATCCTTTTGGCCTCTCTGTGCATCCTCCACAAGCCTCTGCCCAAGTGCCTTCAAACTCATTTTTCTAATGTTCACTGAATAATATATCTGTATCAACTTAGAGTATCACAAAGCAGCTCACCTGAACTAATTCAGGTGATATTCCTTAAAAAAAAAAAATGCCTTTACTGACTTAGTGTTATTTAAGCTTCTATAGAAAGCAAGAGTATAAGAAACAAGCATGCCAGGATTACTCTCCTTTTTGAAAAACTAGTTATAAAGATAGTATCTGGACATATATATAAAACAGTCTAGTCAACATTTCTTTGTGGGAAAACACATTTTTTCCAAAACCGTACTCAACAAGTTCTGTAAAAAGTGAATGAGAAGATTATTGGGAGGATAAAGTGAACTGTGTGCATCAAGTTCCTTTTACAATGTATGCAATATAGTAGTTTCTCAATAAAGTAGAGTTATTTTATTCTAAACCTGCAATGGTGGCTCAGTCAACCCATCAGTTCCCCCAGCCCAAGCCCAAGAGTTACGTTGCACTCCTTCCTTATGGAGAATTAAACTAAAACATCCATCAAGCCCAGTTATGCCAGTTATCAGTCTATTGTCTCTCAGTTGTAAACACACCCTTTAGTTTGCCCTGGCCAGGTAGCTCAGTCGGTTACAGCCTTGTCCCAATATGCCAACATCGCAGGTTTGATACCCAGTCAGGGCACAAACAAGAGTTATCCAGTGAATGAATAAATAAGTGGAAAAACAAGTTAATGTTTCTCTCTCTGTTTTCCTCTCTCTTTAAAATCAATCAATAAATAAATGTACCCTTTAGTATGTGCACTATCATAAAGAGCAGAATTCTTTTAAGCACGTGTCCTTTAAAATGTGTACCATATTATGATTTTGCAGTAGAAAATGTTATACAGAGCAGAAAGTCTAGACAATCAAAACAATAAATCAAGCTCTGAAAACTGGTGTTTTCTGATTTCCATAGCATAATCACTGCCCCAGGGTTAATTCCAAGCTGCCAACATGGCACACTGAATTTGCAGTTGGGAAGAGACAGGCAGTAGCACACTATCATATAGTATTTCCACCACACGAATGTTATAGGTAAGAATGTGTATCCCAAGAATGTATATAACTGCAAAATGAAATCATCAGGAAGTGAGGCATTTTTAGTGTATTACCTTTTAAACTTAATTTATTTGGTTAGAAACTTTATATAATTTAATTTAAATAATGAACTGATTCTCAAAATCCCTGAAATTGTGCCATTCATCTCTCATGAGCCACTGTGAACAAGCAGGCATGCTGCAGGATCAGACCCACTTCTTCCAACATACAGGAACCACTGAGCTGTTCTGCTGGAGCCTTTGGTGACCATGTTGCCAAGACAGAGAACTCACTGAACCAATTAAGCTTCTGAAATGAAGTTCTATTTTCATTCTCCATTTAATATTATGGATTCTTTGGCAGAAAAGAGGTGCCTCTTTCCCTTAATATATGAATATTTTGTTAATTATAAAAACAATGGTATTCCTAATATTTTCCTGGTAGGCGAACAAAAGGTCATGTAGACACAAGTTTCAGGGAAGGACAAAGAGGTAACTGCCCTCATGGCTTCATTTGCAATGAAAGCCCTTATAAATAATATTAAGATCTGGGGGTAAATGGTGCAGCTATTAAAGTGATAGGGACTGTGTATTAGCCTTTTTTTTTTTTTAATACTAAATGAACATGTGGCCTGTCTTTTCTATTTTGCATGATTTTCCTGGTTTTGTTGCTCATGTTATTGGACACAACATAAAGTTTAACCTGTATATGTTGACCTCGTTCCTGTTTCTTAATCTTTCTTTCCATTCTACCCAGAGTGGGATGGTCAGTGGCCTCATGTGGTTGAATAGAGTGTTTTTAAGAGACAGATTGGAACCAGAAAGTTCAGTTAGGAGGTTAATGCAATAGTCCTTGAGAGCAATGATGAGGGCTTGCCCCAAGGCAGTCAGAGTGATGGCTGCGTGAAGTAAGTAGTTTGGGAAACAGTTGTGGGTATAAAATTTGGCCATACCATCATCCATGGGACATTATGAAACTTTACTTCCTAACTGAATATGGCAATCAATTATCTTATGTAACAACCAGAAGAAATTCTCCTAAAGGTCCATCTCATATTGTGCTGTAGTTGTGTTAAGGAAAATGCTAGATTTCCACTTCCCTTCACTGAGCCATAACTACTCACTCTGTCAAGAGCCAGAAGCCTTGGATTTTCTCTCCAGAAGTCTTGGTTACGTGGTCTTTCAAGTCTTCCATGGCAGTCTCAATGGCGCCTGGCTGAGTGGGAAAAAGACAATACCTAGCTTAGAGAAGACTGAGTCCTCTTTGTGCTTGTGATTAGTTATTATTTTTTTGAAGCTTCTTCAAAAAACTGAGCAGGAAAGATAGTTCCTGCATTTGCCTATTTGTTCTAGGTACTACTTGCTGCAGAACTTAGCCTCGAACTCTGGAATTTACTAAACTGTTCTTGGGTGGGACAAAAGCTATCCAAGCCCTGGCTTCCATAATCTTACTCATACTTTCTCATAGAAAGGAAGACAGCCATTTCCAGAGGACTAGATTTTCAGAACAAACATGCTTATCAGACAGTTCAAAGCATTTAGCAATCGATACATTTTTAAAATCAAACCTTTCTCTCTTCCAAGAGCACACAGCAATAAAATATACACAAAGAAAACTTCTTCCAATATTCTAGTCATAATTTTATCTGTCTCTATGAATAAACTTTTTTGTCTCCTTACCTTACTTTTCTTTATCCCTTTCCAAGCCGATATTCCTACTTATAGGCCTACCTCTAGCTAAAAGATTATTAATCTCTGTCCTAATCAGAAATTTGTAGATCCTCCAGCTCAGTGGTTTTTTAAACATCAGTACACATCAGAATTACCCGAAATGGGTTTTAAAACACAGATGCCTGGGCCCTGTCCCAGAGTCTCTGATTCAGTGGGTCTGAAGTGGACTTGAGAATTGGCATTTCTGTCCAGTTTCTAAGTGATATTGTTGACGTGGGATCCAACCATAAGAACCATTGATCTCTAGACAGTTGTTCTCAACCTTGGCTGCACATCAGAATTACCAGGGAAACTTTAAAAAATCATAATGCCCAGGCTGTGCACCAGGCCAATTACATTAGATACTCAGTGTATGGGACTCAAACATCAATACGTCGGTATTTTTTAAAGCATCCCGATGACTCCAATGTGTAGCCAAAGTTAAGAACAACTTGGGCTTACTCAGTCTAAGCCATTTCATTTTATAGTTTTAGAAACAGGGACCAATGTCTGGAAGTATCTTGTCAAGCTCACTCAGCTAGGAAGTAGCAGAAACAAGGAACCCAGACCTTCAATTTCTAGGCCTACGGTGCAATTCTAACCTCATTCCCAAGTCTGGGTTACTGACGAGTAGCTTGCAAATTTTCATGTATTTTCTATATAATAAAGCTTTAATACTAAACACCTTATTTTCTCTATATATTAATATTCCTAATACCACCCAGCATGAGACCCTTCTCTCACAAAAGAAAACAGGACCACTAGCCTGGCTAGGACCCAGTCAAATATCTTCTCCTCTCAGAAGTGGAGTTGTGGTAGGATTTTGGTTTGCTTATCTTTTTAGTCTATATTAAAAGGCTTTGAAACATTTCGACCACAGAGTCTATTGGTTAGGAAAAATTTTATATAAGAATCCATACCATAAAAATAGGAACAGAATGAATCTACTTCAAATAAGTGGGAGTAAAGGTATAGAGCTTTACCTACTTGACTCTCCCTTCCTCCAGTTGACTGCACACAGCCCCACTTAGCCAGGAAAAGGACGGGTCAACTCCTAAACAGAGCTGAGGGACCTGGGTTCTTTATCCAGATCTGCTGTGAATGAATTCTGTGACTCAGACGATTCCTTGGCGTCTCTTTCCTCATCTAAGTAGTATGCCAACCAAAGCTTTCTGAGCCAAGCTGATGACCAAAACCTCCTTAACATCTCTAAGAATATATGATCACAGCCCTTATACGGAGAGGTTCTATCATTTTATCCTGTTAAATTGGATGGTCAGACATTGGACTGAATGATTTCTGACCCTTTTACCATCTCCTGCTGCAAGTTAAAGTGTTAACAGGAAGATAATATGGCACCCCAGGCCTACTGAAAACTGTGTGTCATGAAATCAGTAAGTTCTAGGACATTAACCAAATATTCCTTGAGCTCCCAGTCACAGCAGAGGTTGTGCCAACATCCCTGGTTTCCAGGGATCTTCCTGGAAGGACTGGACTGCCATGGAGGGGAATTTCCTGTAATCCCACAACAATTCTCCTGTCACACAGCCTCCGCTTCCCATGATGCAGCCTGACTCTACCAGGCCCACTGGTCAAATTCTCTAAAACACAATACTTTCTATGATGACTTATAATGGGGATTCTTCCACTCTCTCCCATATATTCACATAATTGATGCTGCAGCTAATATAATTTGGTGGATAAAAACACAAATGGAATGGAAGAATAATGAAATAATCCTAAAATAAGTATTTTGTTGAATGCTTTTATGCCAGACACTTTTTCAAAAATATTTGAAAACGAATACAATAGTACAAAATATTTCAAAACCTTACTTGTCTTTATGGAAAGCAATCGGCAAACTCTATCAAAATAATCTGCTCTTTGATTTACACATTCCACTTCTGTGAAGTTATACTACAGATATCCTTGCATACATGCACAATGACATATCTAAAATGTTCTTTGCAGTCTTGTTTGTGGATAGCAAAAATTTGGAAGGAACCCAAATATCTATCAATAGGGTACTAGTTACATATATCATAGGCATATCTGTACAATGAAATATGCTGAATATATCTGAAAATGAGGAAACTTGTATTAACATGTAAAAATTTCAAAATATATTATTAAGTGAAAGAAAAAATGTTCAGAAGAGAAGGTAAATATGCCAACTTTAATGTAAAAAAGAAGAGAACAGATAAGAATAAATATTTGTGTTTGCTTGTATATGCCTAAAGTAACTCTAAAAGGATACATAAAAATGTTAGCAATGGTTCCCTAAGGATGGGGAAGGAATTTGATGGGTACAAATAAAGTATATCTTTACCAAATGGTTTGGAAGTCTCTGGAGTTCTGTAAATGCCCTCACTGTCTGCAAGGTTACTGGTACTATAATTCATTAACTTCAGACACTTAGTATTGGAAATGAAATAAAAATGTGTGAATGAGTTGACTTGTGTTGAGGATGAGATATAAATCTCAGCCATTCTGCTTGCTGCTACACCCATGTTGAATCATTTTGTCATTCTATATCAGTTTAATAATTTGTTAGGTGGATAAGATAATATTAGTTGTAACAGAATTGTTGGAAGATGCCAAAAATATTTAGTAACACCGAATAATAAAAAACTGTATTATCGTTCTTACTGATAATATAAATATAAGATAAATAGTTGTACCAGGATTTGGGGACGAAATGGTTACTGTAATGGAACAATTAGCTCTGAGACTCCTTATAGCTTAATAGAAAAAAATGACAAAATAATATGTACTCATCATGTGATAAAAGAAAGCTTATCAAGGCAATACACATATAAACATATAGTTCTAATTCTAGATTTTAACAAAAAACATTGGGAGGGATCCTTTTTTAAAGTCACTATATAGCATAACTGGCCATATTTTCTCTAATAATCTAGCCCTGAATATCTTCAGTCAAAACAAATTTACTGAGAGAATTTCAAAGACATATGTCTTTGTTTCCTTGCTTTTCCTTGATCTAGACTAGCCCGGGGCCAGTTGTCACACAAACAATACTCATGTCTGCTGCTAATTTTTCCCCATGTACTAGACTCCTTAACTAGACAGTGAGAGGAGGGGACAGGAAGGAATGCTCCCAGGGAGTCAAATACAAGATCTGTTTTGTGGCAGTGATCATGTCACAGGGACAGAGAGGATTGTTTTGCTGTAAATACATAAAGTAAAAAAACAAGTTTTAAAATACATGTGACTTGTAAAGTTTAATCAAATGTGTCTTTCTCTGAAAATGAAGGAACTGCATTTTATTTTACTATTGTTAAGTAACTGCCCTTAGAAAGAAACAGCATCTTTATTATAATCTTCAAGGGATTTTAGTATAAGGAGAAAAGTTGAGAAAGCTTTTGCCCAGTGAGATATATAATTTCTAGACCAGAAAGAAGCTCACACAAACAATAACAATATAACTAATGTATTTAGTTGTTCTCAAGACAAGAGTAAGACATGGGGAACCCTATAGTAAGAGAAGAGGGGAAGGGAGAAAGTATGAAAGCCAAATTAGAGCCATGAAAGCAACGACATCTTGCTGCACAATGGGAAATCTCAAACCTGCTTATTAAAGTCTCGTTGCTCACAATAGAACACAGGCTATAAAAAGGCCATGGGGAACCGTTAATCAAATATTAAAAGATCAAATAGTTTTAGTCCCAGTAGTTTATATGTAATTTATATTCTCAAGTATAAATTTAGAGATAATTCCCCATCCTTTATCTCTTTCAACTTTCTGATAAGGTATCTGCAAATATAAAGTCTTACAGGGAGTTTAAAAATATCTTCCCCCATGTGGATCAAGTATTGTTTCTTTCATAAGACATTGCCTTTGAATGTGTCTCCAAAATAAAGTGGTTATCATAATATACCTTGAGTTATTAGCCTTGAGGGGTACTTTTGTTCAGAGAAGGCGCTATCCCTTTTTTAGATATGGCTAAGCAATAATAGCAGATGAACTACAACAGAAGGAAAAGGTTACCTAAGCAGACTGAGAGCAAGTTGTTCAGACCTTCATTACTGTGACCTCCCATTTATCGCCCAAGGAGACAGGCAGTGGAGAGGTGGTAGAAACTGTCAAGAGTCCAGTCTCAGTAGAGCTCCGAAGTTTTGGGTTGATCTTGGGCAGGTCACATCTTCATGTGTTTCAGTGGTTGGATCTGATATCTCAGAGGCCTTTTCTGACTGAGCAAAAATGTTGCTAAACTATACCAAAAGAGCAGAGCTTCAGTAAATACATAATAGGCTGGACGCCTGAGGGAAGGAAGCAACATCTTGGAGTGATGCAGAAAAGGACACATGAGGTTTAAGGGACCACACTGACTCCTTTTATAATCCAGTATTCAGAAGTACAATCTAATGCATGAGGTTATGATTCTAAAAGTCCCTTTTGTTTGTCCAGAATCACTTTATACCTCCATATCAGTCACATCGCTGCTTATCTAGCTTGAAACTCACATAACTGATTCCCCTTCTCATTATAGCATCAGGTATCTACCTCTGGCCTCTGAGATGCTGAGTGCCATTTTGCCAAGCAAGCCAAGAAATAACGTTCCTTTTCAGGTTAAAAGATATAAACAGGAAACAATCTAAATACCCAGTACATGTTAAATTAATTGTGGTATATCTACATGGTAGTATAATTAGGTATTCGTTAAATATGATGTTATGGACAAACTACATTAATTGACATAGGAAGTAATATTTGGCATGTAATCCTATTTTTGCACACATTAAACAGGTAAGAAAAAAGTAAGAAGGATATATATTAAAATGTATAACTACATGTTAACATATTTTGGTTAACTTTGAGCAGGGGGATTATGATCCTTTTATTTTGTTCATCCCTATTTTCCACTTTTTCAATAAACCACCTCTTGTGAAATGATTTTTAACCTTTTAATAAAATAAAGTGCTTGACCAAGGAATTCTTCCACTAAATTAGTGATTACTCTTCTGAATTTACAACATATATGCTTTAAATTCTTATATTGTAATAAATTGACTTCTTTTTAAATGCTGCATAGGATCACAGAATTATAAATTGGGATTTGGGAAGCTGGTTCTAAACTTAGCTTTGCAATTTACTAGTGTCTTGGGCAAGTCGGTATTCACTAACTGTTAAGACATTGGACAAGTACAACCCCTCTCTGGATCTTAGCTGCCTCTGAAACTAAGAGTATTGATTAGTTCCTTGGTGTTCACAGTGTAATCTCTGGACAGAGGGCACCAGTACTGCCAGACAGTTTATTGAAAGGCAGAATCTAAGGCCTCACTCTAGGATGCTGAATCAGAATCAGCATTTTAAAAAGATCTCCAGGTGATTGATTCACTTGCACAATAAAGATTAAGCAGCACTGGTCTAGATTATCTGTAGATCTCATTTTACCTCTAAGAAGTGATAATTTATACTGAATCTATCATAGATCTAAATCATTCAGAACTTAGGTCTTATTTACTCATCCTTTGAGAAAATGAATTAAGTTTCTTTACTCAAACTTTTTAACTGCCGCAGATTCTATACATTTACATTTATATTTTACCCTGGAGGCCATGGTAAGGTCACGGTCAACTTAATGTCATTCATTGCATACGTCCAATTACAGAAGTGTAAATGTCAAATCAACAAAAGGAAGAGAAGGCATTTATAATAGCAACAAGATACCACTTATGAAATGTTAATAGATGTGGCATGCTTTATACTAAGAACTTGTACAAAGTTAGCTTATTAAAAACTTCATATAAAACTGGTATTTTATCCACATTTTGAGGATGAGAGAATTTATATATACACACACATACATTCTCTCCAATTTCTCAACTCCCACCATATCAGCAGATTTGTCATTTACAAGGTAGTGAAAACTGGGTCATTCCTTTATTTATTAAAAAAATACATTTCTCACTATAAGTTTCAGTTGAGCCAACATCTGTATTTTCATTATCCTCACATGCATTAAAAGACATTCATTATACTTACATGCTAAAAGAACCCTTCCTATTCTGTCCCTTGGTCTGAGAGAGAATAAATGTTTAGTACCTTGGGAATGTAGCACTCCTAAAAAGTCCTCGCATCTACTTTAGATTCATTAATAAGATTAGAAGAAAGTTTTCCTTCCCAAGCTCTTGAGAACTTAGGGGTGTCTTCTACACACCTGATGGAGATGTGCATCATGGATCAGAGTCAGTCACTGAAAACCCCTATAAAGGAGTCATAAACTCAATCACACGTTATAGCAGGGAGAGCACTGGACTGACAGACAGGAGATACAGAGCCTGGCTTGCTCTTTGAAAGCTGGAAGTGAAACGTCAGCCATTCCCTTACTGAAGATCAGGACAGGCCATCAGGCACTGGGACAGCTCATATTCACAGCTGCTGATCTCCTTGTCCAGTTGATGGCCTAGAGCAGCACCTGGACCTATAGCTTATTTTTATTACAGTCAAAACTCTTCCCTCAGATTCTCCTTCCCCTGAGCGGGGTCAGTGGTAAAAGGCACCAGCTTCTCCAAAAAGTGATTCACATCTTCAAGTTTAGACTTGGAAGATAGATAGATTCCAATCTGTCTCTATTCTGTTACCTATTCCCACTTCACAACTGCCAGTTGGTTGACCTGTAGCAACTTCAGGCCATCACAAGATACAAAACAACCTCTTTGCATAGATTTCTCAGCCAGTTCCCCTAATGGCACGTTTGCAAAGATAAACTTTTTCTATAAAACTCATGGCTGCCTTTCTCTCATCAAACCCAGGCTGTCCTGCCATGAATATCAAAGATAAAAGAAATTTAGGGGATGCTTTGATTTTCTTCACAGCTATATATTAGAGCTTAACTTGCTCTATTTAATCAAGTCCACACACTTTAGAAAACAAACCATATGCTTTACATATGCAAAAACACTCACACAAATGCACATACAGTATAGTACCTCCAAAGAACATTGCATGTAAGAGTCACTGAATATAAGTGATAGGAGTATATGTAATCTTCACACACACACACACCCTCCATACACACCTAGGTGATTTAATTAAAACTTTACCTTAACCAAAGACACATTTTAAAAGCTATTAAATCAGGATTCATTAGTTAAAGTTTTGTAAATAAACACGAAATCTTGGTCACAATTTATTTATGAAATTGAGTTAATTTTTTTTTCCAACAATGAGAGGCTCTGTACACTTGAAAAATAAGATGGTCTCTTTGGCCACAATACAAAATCCCTGACTTTGACCTCAGTTGTTATAGCCAATGAGCTAACCACTACTGTGTTGACAAGAATGTTGAAAGTATTGGAAAAGAAGTATGAAGGAGAGTTCAAGACAGAGGCAGGTACTAGAAACTAATGAAGTACTCTACTGATTCAAATGCTAGAAGTTTAAAGTATCATTATTTTTCATCTAGATATACAACCCCCATCCTCATTACCCACCTATCCATTTATTTTCCCAGCTCCAGTGCATAGGAAAGAGAGCTCAGTTCCACACTGCAGCGATAGGTTTGAGATTTAAAATTCCTGCTCCCACACGGTAATACCAGCATCCCAGTGCAGACTCCCAGGGTTCATTCAGCACATTCTCAGCAAGCCTTTCAACTCCACCACCCCTGTTTACAAAATATAACAAATACCCACACTGGGCTCACAGCTTTCTATTCTAGCTGCTCTGGTTCTCTCTCCATAGAACATTCATTTGTTGGAGTCAGGTTTAGCATAAACACAGGATTGAGGAGGCAGAGATCCATGGAGAATAGAGGACCTGCTTCTCCTTGGTTCTCTCTGGTGATCAAAAGCATCCTCTCTTAACTTCTCTGTAATTCATATACTTCACCTATAAAATGGGGGCAAAGGTATCTACTTCATAGTTATTGTGACTATTGCATGAAATAAGAAATGTGAAAACACTTGGTAAAACATGTGCTAAAGTCTTATGTAGCATATAAGAGCACCAACAATTTTACCCGTGTAACGAAGTACTTCCTTGAGAGATAAGGTCGGTGATAAGGATTGGGGTAGAGTGTTGTTTCGGTCACACTTGGCTGCCTTGACATCTGCTTTGGTGTAGGGTCCTTGCCTAGGTCCCCCTCCTCCATGGAAAGTTGATCAGTCTCAGAGGATTGGTCATCTCCCTCTTGCTTCAGAGACACAGGCTGGAATCCTTCAAAACTCTTGATCATTGACATTTCTTTATCCTAAAACAAGGGAAGAAACAACCTTGTCAATTGAAAAAAAAAATGTCACCTCGCTCTGGCAAAATAGGTGCATGAGCAAATGATGTTTCTGAAACTGACAACCCATCCCCCACATTAACTAAACAGAGGCATTGATGGATCTAACTTCACGACTCAGACTCTACAATCCTGGAGGGCTATTCTCTGGACAGAGAAAAAGAGGCTGTAAGTACTTTCGGTTTTCATCTTTAATTTCCCAGGAGAGGAAGGTGAACAAGGGAAGAGCTGTGTGAAATAATTATCAGACAATTTTGTTCAAGATTTCATAGAATTTTTGCCTGAAAACCCACTAGCCTGCAAGCTTATTTGAGTTAAAAGCAATGATAATGCACCTTCTTATGTGCTTCTTGGGGAGTAATAAGGCACAAAAGCACTTAAAACTAAGCATGATTTTTTAGCTGAAAATATGCAATTCTAAAAATGTATCCTAAGGAAATAATTTAGACAAATGCCCAAAGACATAAATATAGAAAGTTGTTCATCACAATATCTATCATCTAATAGCAGAAAAAATATACAATTTTAGGTCTAATAGCAAAATATAGTATACGATAGCAACATTATGTGCATACACCACATTGTATCTAATATCAAAAAGGAAAAAATTATAGTGAAACTAAGCACTATCAGTAGGGAATTGGCTAAATAAAATATATTATACCATGTACTGAAATACAATGCAGTCATTGAAAATGTAAGTGTATAATTTTTATCATGGAAAGATGTGTAAATTATATTGTTAATGAGAAAAGTAAGTTATAAAATATTATTAATAATGTTATTTAAATTGGTAAAATAATTCAGAAAGCAAGAGAAATAAAAAAAGAAAGAAGTTAAGTAAAAAAGAAAGAATACTTGGACACACACACATACACACACACACACACACATGCATGGTATGAAGGAAGTTAGAAAAAGTCCTAAAAGAAAATAAAATATTAACAATGATTATCTCTGGATGATAGGGTAACAAATAATTTTTATTCTCTGTTTTGATAACTCTCTAATATTTACAGTTGTTCATATGTGAAAAGATAATACAAATAAATAATATAATAATTACAAATAATACAAGAATTAACTGTAAACCTACTTTTGCCAATCCCTGTATATGACTTAAAATAAATAAAAACACAATACATTTATTTATATTTTGTAAATAAAAAGCAACACAAAACAAAATGAAAGACACATGCTAACCAAGTAAAAGTGCTCCTAAATCAGGTCTCCATTTTCCATCCGAGGCCACATAGTCATCCCTACAGTAAGCACACTACTGCCAGTGCCACACAGAAGGAGGGTCTCACACCAGCTTCACCATATAACTGGGCGTGCCATCCTATTCTCAGAGATGCTTCAGTCTCCTTAATCAGACAAATTCAATTCCCTTGGTTCTTGTGAAATACAAAAAAAATGAGAAACAACCCTTATTCCCAGCAAGTTTACATTCTTGAAATTTGGATTAATGAGGGTATTCAAGAGACATAAAAATAGTATGAACATATAATTTGTTGCCTAAACCTGGACACTTTTGAGGATAAAAAAGATGCTATTAACAACTTTGTCAGTATGGCCACAGCTGGTGTGTCTCAGTGTATTGGGCGCTGGCCTGCGAACCAAAGCGTCACTGGTTCAGTTCCCAGTCAGGGCACATGCCTGGGTTAAGCGCCAGGTTCCCAATATGGGGTGTGCAAGAGGCAACCACACATTTATGTTTCTCTCTCCCTTCTCCTCCAAAAATAAATAAATGAAATCTTTTTTAAAAATGTATAACATGTAAAAAACAAACAAACAAACAAACAAACAAACCGATTATGCCAGTATGATGGGAGAACCTGGGATTATCTCAAGCAAATGTGGACATAGAGTCCTCCTGAGGGCTTGAAGGTAGGAGAAAACACAGTTGGTTAGAACTCAGGAGTGAAAAGCCCTCTACAGACTACATCATAGGTTATCTCCTCTGAGCCACCCAGCAAACATTGGAGGATAAGTTCATCTCCACGTCTCTGGGGAACACAGGGTTGGATAATTCCAGAAACACTTGGGTAATTTTGGCAGCACCTAGACTCCCACCCAGGACTCCCAAACATGCTTTGAGCCTAGCTTGCCCACCATGATGCGTGCTGTTTCACAACAGGAGGAGATTTGCCCGATTTTCAGGTAATTTTATTTAAATTAGTTGTACAAAAGGCAGAGATTAGGTCGAACTGGCTTTTGAGAAACACAAAGCATACACAAAGAAGCAGAAAAAAAATTGTGTGTGTGAGGGAGAGAGAGAGAATGAGAGAGAAGAAGAGAAAGCAGGAGGAAAAAGTAGGAGGGGAAGAGGGGGAGAGGGGAGGATGAGGAGGAGAAGGAGGAGAAACTGAGAGAGATCAGTGAGATGTGGCCTCCCTGTCAGTCATTGTCTCTATTTCTGCAGGTCTGCCACCTCTGCACCAGTGGGTGTTGGAAGGAAATGCGTGTCTAGAGTTCCCTGTAACCTGTGAAGGAGGGTTTGTGCCTTTGGGAAAGGAAAGCCTGCTTCTGTATTTGCTGCACTCTGTGAACACAGGCCTAACAACAGACATCTGCGAAAGACTCCAGTGCCTGGAAAACAGAGGGAGGATTTAATTAGCACCACTTCCTCTCCCTCAGGCTGTCTTCTCTGGAAACAGTTGAAGAAGAGCAGAGCACTTTGAGACTGAGCTGTCTGAGATCCAGGAAAGGAGGAAATTCAGCTCCAGTTAAATTTGTACCACCATGACTAGTGGGAAAGTTGAACCCAGTCACTTCAATCCAAAATGATTCTAGCTCTATTCCAGTCACGGGGACAGTTTTCCCAAGGCCATGTAACTTCTTCAACAGCCTCCCCCACAGCAGAGGAGCTACACACATCTAAGCAACCCATTCCACTTCTCATCACCACCTACCCAAACAATGTTTATTCCTGATTCAATAAAACGTGCCCTTCTATTGCTGTATAAATAGACTATATGCATCCAAATACTAACAGCATATTAATGGCAAAAAAAAAAAAAACCACAACATACTTTTCACCTGATTTTCTTATTCCAGGGAATTTGTGTAATGAAAATTATCCTAAAGAAGGAAAAGACTATAATATTGCTTACTGTGGGTGGTTATAAAAAAATTGGAAACCAACTAAACACCTAATGGCCAAGAAACCACTAAGTCCATCCAACTGATGTGCAGATGTTTAAAATAATGTGGGCAAGTGCTGTAGCAGTATGGAGGTAAGGGATGCATTTTCCAGGGTGGAAAAAAAGGCCAAAAAAGGGCTCCCCTGGCAACGATGATTTGAATAATTTTTACAGTGGTAAAGACTAGACGGGAAATATTGAGATTTATTGAGGCAGTTGGATTGTAAGAGAATTTTTGCTTTTCAAAAAAAATTTCAAATATGTTTATGCTGCTTTTGTAATAAAAAACAGACTGTATGAATAAATGTGTTGGTTCGCACACCCAGGAGGTCCCTAGGTGAAACCTGAAAATGGCCCTACATGGAGGGCAAAGACAGATCAAAAAATGAGCAGGCCACTCCAGATTGGTAGGTGACAAGGTTAATAAGCAAGGGAACTTACACAGGAGGCTTGCGTTGTGAGACCACAAGATTGGTAGATTTCTCCACCCACTCACTGGAATCTTAACAGTTTATATAAACTATTAAGAGGCCTTGACTGGGTTCAGGCACATACACCATCCAGATGTTCTCAACAATACACTGCTCTCTCAATGCCTTGTCCTTGAAAACAGCTCCCATTGTGGGAACAGTAGGCGGAACATCATTCCAAAGACAGAGAAGGGGGTGAAGGGCTGCTAGTTGCTCAGGTCATGTCCTCTCAATGACTTCTTCAAAAAGTCCCAAACAAATACCTAAGGAAGTGCTACCCTTCCTTTGGTCAGATAACAAAAATTCTGTATTTCTCAGCTGCCAGTAAATTCAGAGCAAAATTTAATATCTTATTGTAGTAAATAACTCATTTCTGAACACTGATTTAATTATACCTCCTCCCTTTATACATGTTTTCATCAACCTCTCTGTGACTTTTTTTCTAGAAAGACTTAAGAAGCATATAGGGCATAAACTATAGCTAGAGAATCAATGCTTAGTTTAACTCAGTTCATTTTGCACACCTTGTAACACTGAGGTGAAGGACTTGCCCAAGTTCACAGAACTAAATAGAACTGAAAAATGAAACCAGACTCCTAGACTCTAGTTCAGTGTCAGTGTTTCCTATTGTAACACTTGAAGAAAAGCAGATAAGCAGTCATCAAACCCATGCATTGGTAAACTGAAGACACCTTTGCCAAATGTTTGTTTCAGTCACATTTGCTTTGCTCCCGTGGATTGGAGATGCAGCTCCCATGATGCAGGGCTCATCCCCCGGTTCTCCTGCCTCAACGGCCCTATGCCCTGTGCTACAGGCTGAAGCTTTCTCTTTCACCTGGGTGAGAGTACTTATCTATGAGGCACAAGAGGGGCAGGGCCTCAGGTCCAAAAGCATTTAGGGGCCTGGGAAGTGTTTTAATTTATTTTAAAACCAGAAGAGAAAAATTAAATCTTATGGTTGAAAGAATATTTTAATTTTTTCTCATATCAGAAAAAAAGCAAAATTTGTAGGGCACCCAATATCTGCTACATCTTGCCTAAAACCAAATAAAATAAAACATTGAACCATTTAAAGTTATGGAAGTATACATTTTAATATTGATGTTCTTATGGTGAAGAGGTCCACAAAGGCAAAAGAGTCTGGGCCCAAGGAAGCCATAAAGTAGCCCCGAGTTGAATCCACAGCGAATAATTCACATTCCCTGCTTAATATTCAATTCTGGGGTTATATCTGAGACCATTAGAGCTAAAGATTTCCCCCATTGCAGGACTTTGTAATTTCTGTTTTGGAGAATTCTGTTCTACTATGTACTAGATGTCTCTGCTATAGACAAGATGT